TTCGGTCCACTTAGACCTGTGCTTACAGAGGTTTCTGAGACTTTGCGAGACTGTTGTCGTTAGTTACTGTCGAGTCGGCCTACAACTCATGGGGACTCAGTGCACTAAGCAGTGAAACACTGCCCAGTCCTGCGCCATCCCCATGCTCATCTGCAACTTTGACTGTTGTGACCCATAGGGATTTTGTGGGGCTCTTTTCTGAAGTAGATTGCCCAGCCTTTATTTCTAATTCATCTCAGTCCAGAAGTGCCACTGAAACCTGTTTAGCATCATAACAACATGCAAGCCTCCACTGATCCGTGGGGAGTGGCTGTGCACGAGCATAGGCTGGGAGTTGGACCCTAGTCTCCTGCATAGAAGGTAGGAGTTGGCGCCACTGAACCACCAATGCCTTGTCAAGCCTTGTGTTTTTGTTTTTTTTTTTTTAATTTAAGCCCTCAGCACTAATGTTTTCTGGTTTGCTCAAGCCACTGCTCCTTGGCCATCTGTCTCCTATGTTCGTAAGTTTGCTTCCTTGCCTGTCATTGTCTCCTCTTTCATTGGTCCCTCTTTAATCCCTTTACTACAACTTTAGTGGTGTTTTGAAGGAGTGAAGGCAAACAGGTGGCTGTTCATCTGCTATGTCTAATGGAAATGCACACAAATTCTCTAATGTTGATTGAGGAGAGAAAAAAATAAAACCTGTGATTATAAATTTATCTTGTTGATAGTGTTTCAGGTTTATCTGTGAAAAGCAGTTTAAATTAAAGGATCAAATTGGAGAGCAGTTGTTTATGATCACTTTATAAGGAAGACTGGGCCATCTACTTCTATAGAGATACTGCCTCAGAAACCCAAAGAGGGGTTGCTATGAGTCAGGACTGACTCGATGGCAGTGAGTTTGATTTTTTGATTTTAATAAAAGAGTAGATCAGAGACAAGTGAATAGAACAAAAGATTTGCTGACTGTACACTGAAGGTCTGTAAATGATTGGGTGGTAGAAGGTTCCAGTGCTCTGCCTATTTCTAGGACTACGAGTTTAATCCATATTTCGTAGTTTTGTAAGTGCTGAGTGGTGGCTTAGTGCATGGACTTTGAAACTGCACAGGTAAGAGTTTGGATTACTGCTTTGCCATGTGAGATACCATAAATTGTATAGTCTCAGTTTCCCAACCTAAAAATGGCGGAAATAGTGCTTTTCTCCCAGAGTTTTTAGGATGGAATGAATGAATGTATGTAAGACAAGTGGAAGGAGCTCTGGTGGTACACTGGTTATGCGCATGGCTGCTAACCGAAGGGTGGTGGCTCAAACCTATCCCGAGGCTCAGTGGGAGAAAGGACCTGATGACATGGGAGCAGAGCTCCCATGAAGATGACAGCCCAGAAAACCCTAGTAGGGCAGCTCTCCTTCGTCATTTAGAGTTGCTTTGAGTCAGAATTGACTTGGCACCATACAACAGCTAGACAACTAGTGTGCCCATTAAGTACATGTTTTGTTTTATTTATTTTTTTCACTTTGGTATATTCTAAGGTTCATTTCATATCTGACATTATTGTTTAATGTGATCCTACTAAGCCTGGGAACCAGACTGCCCTAGTCTCTCTGCGCTCATGGATTTTCTCCTCATAGCAGGAAATCGCTCATCATTTAGCTCCAGGACATGCTAGCCCATGTGTTCTGTTTTGATTGAGATCTTTCAGCTGTGCCTGGACTACCTCTAGCCTAGATAACTGCTATAGCCTGCAAGCTAACCTGCCTCCAGGCTCCCCCTTATTTTCCCTACCCTGCACACTGTGATCAGATTGGTCTTGCTGAAATGTATATTCAATGCTACTGCTCCACTTAGAAATCTTTAGTGGCTTTCCTTTGCCAACGGTGAGTGAATTCTTTGTTAATTTTTGCCACCATTTTAGGGGTGGTTAATGATAATAATAATCTCGGAAGGAAGGTTGGGCAATCCTACTTCCGTAGTGATACTGCCTCGGAAACCCAAGGAGGGGTCGCTATGAGTCGGGGCCGACTCGACGGCACATAACAACAACAACAAATGATAATAATAATGAAGATTTATGGAATGTTTATTAACCCATGGGGTAGGTACTCTGGTCATTATCATAATTTAAACTTGGAAACTTAGGCTGAAGCAGGTTGAATAACTGGCCCAAGATCTCCCAGTTAAAGTGGAGGGAGGAGGGGTAATATTTAACTTGGGTTTGCCTGGCTTCAGAGACCATCCTCTTAACAGCATCAGTGTTGAGTAAAATTTCTTATAGTTAATGGTTGGCTTCTGAATAGAATATAGTTACAGACGATTAAATACAGACTTTTAAATGGATGGGCATTGATGCTGTCCAAGGGCCCTGGGTGGTGACATACCAGTCATTCTTAATAACCATTGTACATTCATGTGAAATAGCTCACACTTTAAAAAATACTTAACTATTAGAGAATATTTTGGGAGAGTGTTGTATGTGTAGGGTAGCTTGGAAGCAAATCTTGGAGATTTGCCATTACTGTACCCTGAAGGAAGTTCTGGTGGCATAGTGCCTGATGCATTTGACTGCTAACCAGAAGGCTGGCAGTTCAAGCCCACAGCCTCTCTGTGAAAGGACGATGAAGCAATCTACTTCTGTAAAGATTTACTGCCTTGGAAACCCAATGGAAGTCACTGTGAGTCAGAATCAGCTTGATGGCAGTGAGTATACCCTGAAGAGTTACAGTGAACAGAAACTTAGAGGTATCTCTTGGGCGGTGGTATGGCTGCTTGTTGGGGTGGTTTAGGATCTTTGGACAATGATAACAAAGGGCTTTTCCCCCTTGGATTGGAAGCAAGCCAGTGATCCATTTTACTGTAAGAAATAGGTAGGTGGGAAACCAGAAGTGTAGACAGGTTCTTGTATTTGTCCTGGTTCTATTTCTGTCTGCCCAATTCAGATCTTCCTTCTATCTCTTCCACAGCAAATACTTACATCTCCCCCACCGCCAAGCTTCTGCCATGCATATTCCTGTCGTTACTATGTATATTTTCAGTAAAATATGAATCATTCTCTGTATACTGTTGTCACAGTCTACATTTTCCGCTTAAATTGTGGAATATCCTTTTATCCCTGTAATCATTCTATTTTAACTTACAAAAAAAAAAATCCCTATCTGGCAAGGTTAAGTAAGTTATAAAAACATCCATATGATTAAATACTACAAATGCTCTTATTTGTAAAGTTCAATAAGCTTCTTTGATAATGTAGCATATTTTAAGATATAGTTCGTTATAACTGACTGAGAATTGGACAGTTTTTTTTTTTTTTTAAATAGAAGTGTAGATACTTTTGTGGTAAACCTATAGATGGCAGCATCACTCACTATAAAGTGTAATTTAAACAGAATTTCTCAGACACATGAGATGTTTGAGAGAATAATGCTCGGAGTCCACCAAACTCACTCCTTTATTGTGTGATGTATTGAGCTCAGACGCCAGCGATTAGTATAGCTCAGGGCCGAGGTGGGGAGAGCTGTGAACCCCTGCCTGGCACTATTTCTGCCACTTGTTCTTTTACTGATGTGGAATGTGTCCTGTCTCTGTGGCCTTATTATAAAGCTCACTTTAAGCATAAGGCAACCAAGTGGGTGATTTTGGACTGTAATGTAATGCGACGTGTGAAAGGAACAGACAGCATGTGTAGTCTTGTTCTAAAAATTTTATTGAGATGCAATTCACATACCATACGGTTCACCCATTTAACAAGTACAGTTCTGTGGATTGTGGTATATTCAGAGGTTATATGTGATTGTCACCACAATGGACTTTTAGGACATTTTCGTCACCTCTAAAAACTCTTTGCCTCTTAACCACCACCTCCAACTCTCCATCTTACAAACCAGCAAGCCCCTGGCAACCACTAATCTACTTTCTGTCTCTTGAGATTTGCCTGTTCTGGACCTTTCATATGAATGGGATCATAAAATACGTGTTTTTTTTTTTTTTTTTTAAATGACTGGCTTCTTTTACTTACCATGATGTTCTTAAAGTTCATCCATGTTGCAGCATGATTCAGTATTTCATTCCTTTTTACTGCCCAGTATATTCCATTGTTCTGTTGTCATGAAGACACTTGGCTGTTATGAATAATGCTGCTATGAATGTTTGTGCATAAGTTCTTGTATGAATATATGTTTTATATAGGAGTGAAATTGCTGGGTCACTTGGTAACTATATATGTAACCTTTCGAAGAACTGCCAATTAATTTTATATTCGAACCACTAGTGTGTGAGAGTTCCACACAGTCTTACTAGAAATTTCAGATTTGTTAATGATGAATGGGTGGAAGTTGGGGGGAGGAATGGAAGATAAGACCCTGAGTTTCCCTTGTGTTCCTGAATTCCCTGTTGGACTAGCTGATAGGCCTTTTTGAAGGCATCTATATGAGCTGCCAAGAAAGCAACTGTCTTCTCTGCCCCACACAATGACTGTGCGTCACCAGTCTGATAAAATGCCTCTGTTAAATGGCTGCTCGGAGCGTGTTGATATTACAGGCTGGCTGTTTGTAATTCTTGCCTCCTGACTTTGGAGATACCAAGCAATCAAACAGTCTTTGTCTCAGAGAAAAATTCTGAATAAAGAACCCACAACCACAAGCTGCCCAGGTTTGAACATGTCAAAATTACCTACTAGATATACACTGAAGACGGCTGCAGAGACTTCACAGCAAAAGAGCACCTTTTGTTTTTGTCAGAGTTTACATTCTCAAGACTGAACTGACCCTTTTTCTTCTTTGGCAGCCCAGACTGGACATTCCCGCATCTGTACTGAAATGACTCTGTGTGTGTGAGAGAGAGAGAGAGTGTGTGTGTGTGTGTGTGTGTGTGTGAGAGAGAGAGTGTGTGCGTTTGTTTCAAGGGAGGGGAAGGGGCCGGCTCTTCCTTTAGGCATATTTGGGTCCTGGTAAGGACACACACTGTACATTTTGAAGCTTTGTTTGCATCTGGAAAAAATTAGACACACAAAATCTTTCCCACTGCAGGTCCTGTCAGGAAGCCTAAGTATGTGGAAAGCCCCAGAGTGCCTGGAGATGCAGTTATAATCCCGTTCAGAGAAGTGTCCAAGCCAACAGAGCCCAATGAGAATGGTAAGAATGTTTTCTGTGATTTCCCCTTGCCCCCCCTTAAAGATTTCATATAATGGCACTCACCATTTCAGAGTGAAACTTGAGTGCCGCTTATAGGGATGCTTTTGCTGAACTGAATGTATTTGGGTTGGTTGTTGTTGATTTTTTTTTGGTTTGGTTTGGTTTGGGCAATTACAGAGATCTGTTCAGCTAATGCAAATTTTTGGAATTAGATACCCAGTGTAGGAATAGTTGAGTGGGTGCATATACATCGTTGAAAGGTTGAATCTTATTTCCTCTGAGTTTTGACACATTCAAAACTGAGGGATATGAAAAGCCAGCCAGCATATGTTTCTAAGACTTTTTGTTTCATTTTCATATTCCACTCTTTTTGAATTTTCAACAAGTTTTGCCTGTAAAACTGAAACTGGATTAAGCTTATAAAACTAGCTTTCTTAAAAGCATTTGGTAACTTTTGAAAGTTTCTTATTTTTAACATAGAAATTTTTTCTTTGGGGGGAGGGACATTTAAGATATAGGGACCCTTTGCCTCTTACCTAAATTCAAATTGATTGAAACCTTTTAATGAAGAATACCTATTTTGCTTTTACAATATCTGAAATATGTAGAGCAGACATTATGAACTGGTAGCATTTCATAGATGATATGAATAGATCTTTCATTTTTATTGTTTTTAGTGAATTCAAGAATTCACCTGTTCATTTCTTTCTAGGCAGTCCTCAGCTCACAAATGCTATATGGCCTTGTAATTTGGGTGTTTTGAACTTGCATCCTATTTTTCTGTAGAAACATGTGGTTGGGAATTCTGGCTTTTGTAGAGAAGTCTAATTTATTTCACGGTAGACAAAAGTTTATGAAGTCATTCAGTGAAAGAGAATTTAGGAAACTCATCCTCATCGCCACTTTGGAATACCTATCTCCCTCTCCTTCTCTGCTGGTGGTTGGAGGGGGGCAGCTTCTTTTATGTTCCAGTCTCTGTGGGTAGATTTTGTGTTTCTGGTTTGAAGTAAGACTTGGGAGGAAAATGGAGTAGGAGTAATTCTGAAAATAATGCTGAAAATGAGCTGAGAGGAGGAATTGGAAGAAGCTGAAAACCTGGAAGAGATGGGGCCAGGTGCTGAGAATTCTACTGTAGGCATCTTGGTATGAGGAATTCCACCCTTTTCCTCTCATTAGAGCTTTAATTGTTTGGTTTATGTAAGAGATTCACACAGAAAGGATTTCTGCTAAGTAGGAGATAGGGTGCCAGGTACATGGGGTGGTAAGGAAAAGAGAATCCTCAGTGGTGTTTGCTTAGGACAGCCATTCGCTAATATACAAGCCCCTCTCTGTTGTGAAATTTAATGTGTACAGGGTGTGTCTAGGCCTCTCTGTCCTCTTTCATTTTTATTCTGGATGTTGAAAGGAAAATAAACACCCTTTTCTCTATAAGTGAGTATCAGTTATATAATTTACAGAGCTGTCACCTTCAAAAGGTTAAGCTCACACCTCCCCACCTATTCCCCAAAGCCTTTCAAGTCCTAGTTAGTTCTGCTCTGATGTTTGGCCTAGACTCCATGCCCCCTGGCTGAGAGTAGGCGTATTGTTGAGGTTCTGTATAGGACTTAGACTCTCCCAGGGGTTGAGAAATTTAGGATTTTTATTGAGTGAAAACAAGAAAGTTATAAATAGTTGCCACTGTGGCAGACTTTCTCCCCTTGCCCAAGGCAGAATTGGCCATTTTTCTTGGAGGTGTGTTATCTTTATGATTTGGTGCTCTACCCCACTTGCTCCCCCCACCAAAAAAACTGAACCAAACCAGCCAGTTGCCTTCTACTCAATCACAACTACTAGTCACCCCACGTGTGTCAGAGTAGAACTCTACTCCACAGGGTTTTCAATGGCTATGGTCTTTTGGAAGTAGATCCACCAGGCTTTTCTTCGAGGGTACCTCTGGGTGGATTTAAACCACCAACCTTTCAGTTAGTAGCCTGGTGCTCAACTGTTGGCCCCACCCAGAGCTAAACTCAAGTGCAGTGATTGGTGTTGCTGGAGTAGCCTGGAGTTTGCTTGTACATTTACTCCTGAGACCTGAGTGCTCTGAGTGGGTATGTCTTCATGTGGACTGAAATTATGACATACTTGGACTGTGAATACAAGAGCAGAGGCTTCTATTTTGCCCAGAAGTAAGAAGCAGAGTGTGTTTTCATTTCTTAGGTTTATTTTTTTAGATGCTCAGGAAAGGGACATAGCTCATGTTTATGGGCACATGGTCACATGTGAAAATAACCATGATGTAGGTAAAAGTCCCACAGAGTTATATTTGTGTTGGTTGACGAAGAGGTGGTTGCCTAACACAATTGAACTTGACAATTAGTAAAGGGTGGTGTGTTTTGTAATCTCTATGGGATCCTTTAAGTTTCAGTGGGGTTAATTAAGTCTGCCATATTAAAAGTATATTTTGTGTCCAGGTTATTGAACCTAAAGGGGAAGCTAGAGTTAAATAAAACAAATAATTGAGTTTGAGTGTTAACCCAAGCAAGTGTAGATACATGATTAAGACAAACTCTTATTTCTAGGGTTTCATATCAACATCATCACATAAGTTTTAATTTAAAATTTGATATTTTGCTTTCCCTAAATGACAGGCACTTTTAAGTCTCTAATTATCTTGGGGGCTGTCAGTAATAGAATTTCAGAATTCGCTAGACTAATAAACTCTATTGAAAACAGTTCCTCTGAATTGCTTCTGAAATTTCATGTGGACTTGTGAAATACCAAGTACTTTATTTTTAAATGTTTGAAAAACTTTTTCCCAGACTAAGCTGCCTCACTTTTGCTTTTGTGAATGTGTAGCTCCACCTATTGTTGATTCTTAACTCTCTATTTGAAATTCAAATCAAAGTAAAACAAAATCATTTTTAAATTTTTTAAAATTAATTTATAAATAATTGTATTTATGTATACTTTGTATACTTAAGCCATGGGGAGTGGGTGAGAGGCCATAGGACAGGTGAAAATCTTTGTTGTAAGCAACGACTCTGTTTAGTTATGTGTGAATTTGCCTAGGGACACCTTTAGGAAAAGATACATTCCACATTATTCGATATTTGCCGGTGTTTTTTAGAATAGCATTTTCTAATTTTCTACTCTGAGGGAAAAAAGATTAAATGAGATCCTCAAAATACAAATCCCTTTTATTTCTATCAAATGGTCATAACAAGCTATATATACTATAAAATAGACCATTCACATAAAAGGCTCCTGTTGCTTAACCAACATACTGTTTGTTGTTGTTGTTGTTATGTGCCATCGAGTGAGACCCGACTCATAGTGACCCCTCCTTGGGTTTCTGAGGCAGTATCACTAGGTAGAAAAAATCCACTCACATGCATAACCCTTTGCCTTACAGGGTTGGGGGAACTAGGTAAATTAGAAGGGATTGCTGTGAATTATAATAGGGTTCATAGCTGTATTTCTTTGAAATAGGGGCAATCATAATCCATTTAGGTTTGCATTAATGTATCATCTACCTGAGCAACCATTGATGGGTACAAATGAAGAAATTTTAGCCTTATGAGTGAGTCATTGTCTGGTGAAGACATTCTCAAAATATGATATTCTGGCTGTCTGGTTAGCTATTAAAACTAACACATATGAAATAAGAGAATAATTAAATGTAAAAACTGTCTTTGGGAAGAGGAGTATTTGCTAGCTGTATTTTATTATCTTTTTTTCTTTATTAGACATTAAAAAGAATATAAAAGAGATAAAAATGATTGACACCTGTCTGCCCATTATGGTGTTTAAGAAATAAAACATAACAATGTATTTTTCCCTGATAATACCTTCCCTAAGAGGTGACCTCAATCCTGCTTTTGGGAACATCTTTTAACTTTCAGCTTCTTAAAATGATGATACACCATTTGATTTTTAAAAGTTGAGAAAGGTTGGAAGTAAAGTAGGGGGAACGTATGTGGTGGAAGAAGGCTATGGGCAAGGTACCCATTCATTGTGCGGTTACTTGAGTATATTGTTAATTAGTGGTTTATCTGGCAATGGGGTGTAGGTGGGAATTGGGTAGGAAAGAGACTAAAATCAGAGAGAATGGTTAGAAAATGATTTCAGTAGTTCATGTGAGAGAAAGGTTTCAAAATAGAACAAGGTCAGATAAGGGAAGATGAGAGATTATGGTGAGGGATGTATGATGTATGTGAGTGTGATTGAGTTTGTTTACTTTTAATAAAGTTGAATTTAACACTTTATAGATATAAAGGGCAAAGGTCATAGATTTAAGGCAAAGGTTCTCAAAGTGTGGGCTGTGGATTCCTAAGTAGTCCCCAAGACCCTTCATGAGGTCAGATTCTTTTCATAATAATACTAAGAAGTTACTTCCATTATTTCTGTGTTGACATTGCACTGACGGTGCAAAAGCAACTGTGGGTAAAACTGCTAGTATTCAGTACACGTCGAGGCAGGGGTAGCATCTCTACCTAATGGTCATTGTATGCTTCATAGAATACACACTCATGCTCAAAAGTAAGAACTTACCACAGAATGTCCTTGAAGAAGTACTAAAAATAATGAATAGTAAATTTTGACCCTTGAGTATCCACCTTTTCAGAATTTTGTGTGATGGAGTAGGACTCTGCATGGAGTACATCTGCATGCTGAAGTATGATGGTTGTCTCAAGGGAAGCACTTGGGAGAGTGTGTGAGTTGCAAACTGAATTAGCCATGGACATCATTTTCACTTGACAGAATGACTTGGATTATTCACAGTTGGGTATTTGGCACACATATTTTTCTTCTTCATTTTTTCCAGAGGAACAAAATGAGTCTATTGCTTCAGTTTAAAACAAAAACCGGAAAGTATTTGTTGCCAGTGATAAAATTTAACCTTTCAAGAGAATATTAGATTTTTGAAAAAATGACGTCTGTCACATTGAGTTTTTGATAATTTCTCTAGATTTTTCAATTGAGATCTCTGGTGATATTAACGAATATGAAATTTTGATATC